TTGTTCGCATGACTAAATATAATGGCTGCTGGCCTCTAATTGTCTAGATCTGAGCAAGGCACAGTGTGTGCAGATCCCACTGTCTCCATTGTGCAAAGAAGGCTATAACAAAACTCTATAAGCTTGATACCAAGGATCCTGTAGCCTGCACACAGAGGGTAGAGTACTTACTTAAAGATGACTGGTTTGATTACATGCCTAGCAGGTATGAGGTATGCTCATAAATCTCTGTTGCGATTATTCCAGACTGCAGCAAGACTGAATCTGTCTAATAATACTGGCAAGCACATTCTCTTAAGTTTCTAAACTAACAAATTCTAGGTGTTATATATGGATAATTTTATTTGGACAAGAAAAGAAGAGGTACAATGGATGATAGATTTCTACAAAAGATTAACAGCACATCTCAGTAACTTACTGCAGCCATATTGTATCATGTCCTCTAATGTTGGCAGACTAGAAACTTTATTGTCAAGGTATTTTTCATACGTTCTAGTTCTCAAGGTAGAGATAAAAACTATCCACTAGAGTCTAATGATAGTCAGGCTAATGTAATAATAGCTCTACCAGAACATGACTTAGTAACATGAAGCAATATACTAGATTTTTTTCAGACTAAAATCATTAGCAGTTAACAAGTAGATTAAAGGAGAGAATTGCTAAGAATTGCATAAAACATGTAGAGAGAGCCAACAGATATTCAGATAATCTGATTCATTACACAGGAATTTAGAATTCATCTTGAGAAGGATGAATTACAAGTGAGCAATATTGACTGCAGGTATAGTACTCTGCAAGGGTATAGTCAGGGAGGGCCAGAACCAGTAGAAATACAAGATCCACCAGTGGGCTCAACTGTCCGAGATCTGTCCAGTGCAGCCAAATATTCCTAGTGGCATTTAGATAAAACTGAGTCTGAGGCGGAGGAGGAAAATGAAATTATTAGTATATATAATTTGATAACTATAAAAAAAAAAAAAATTTGTAGATTAAAACTATTGCAGAGAAAGTATGCTTCTATGAAAGAGGTGGGTAATAGGATCTCGTTGAGGTCATAGTATTGAAGATATTGGAATAAGAAAACATAGAATAAGCGAATTGCTAATAGAGTCCGACAAAACCTGAAATCATGAAAGAACATTAGAATAGGTCCAGCAGATTAAGTGAAATACAAAAGTAGGATTGGAAGTATAGCACAATTAGTGAAAGTGCAGAAGTTGTCTGAGGCTTGTAAACAGGAAAAGAATATAAGAGATGAAAGCAGACAAAATGCAGATGATAATAGACAACCTAGTAAATACATTGAACGGATACAGAAATACAAAGTAGAATAGGAAGATGTAAATAATATGAGGGAGAATGAGAGTAAAATCAGGAGATAGAAGAGGACTAGCAGACAGAAAAAGGAAATCCAGAGCAGAATACGGACAAAGTGTGAATGAAACTAGCTATCATGAGGAAGGTAAGGGACAGCGAGAGCAAATTCAGAAGACTCTAAAAAAAGTAGATTGGTGGAAGGCACACATCTATAACAGGAACCAAGTGTCTGGGATGTCAGGAGTAATTGGATGAAAGTTAATAAACAAGGCAAATTGTTGCTAGGGATGGTCCCTAGGGACCATCTGATACATCCAGCCACACCCATCCAGATTGGGGGTTTACATTTAGCTCTTCCTGAGCATTAGACACACAGAAAGTACAGGATGTAAGTTAAACTTTTTGCCGATATAGGACGCATGGGATGCAGGTAGCTAAATATTTGCACTAGGACCTATCATTGACATATCTAATACACGTTCTCCTTTTTTTTTGCTAATAACATTGTATATGTGTTTGTCATCCTTTCCATCTTTCACCAGTGTTCCCAACCATCCCGTCCGGACGCCAGGGCCCTGGCGTCATATAGTCCCGTCCGTCCTGTCCGGGTGCATAAGGATGGCCGGGCAAGGCGTCCGTCTTTATTAAACATGGCCATCCTGTAGGTTGACGGGCGGGCCTGCAGTCTTTTTTGGAAATGGTAACTTCCGGTAGGGCACAGTTGTCATGAGTAAAGAAAGGCATCCTAAGTAAGGATGGGTGTCTACCTACCATCCTGCATAAGGATGTGCATCTACCTACCGTTACCTGTAGGTACCTACAGTCCTGAGTAATGACGAGCATTACCTGTAGGTACCAGCCATCATTTGTAGATACCTACCGTCCTGAGAGAGGAAAAGCGCTACTTGTTAGCTCTTGCTACTATCCACATGCCCCGGACACTCCTTTCTGAGCTCTGTCGTCATCCATATGGCCTAACCCATCACCCATAGGCTCCGTGATCACTTGACACCTCAGCCTGAGTGAATAAACTATGTATAAATACAGAACTAAGATATGAGAATGAACCATTTTGAGAAGTTCCACCAATAAAGCAGAGTCTGCCTCTCCCTTACCTTTCAGTATAATGTCTGAAGTGCTATCACATTCCTCTCATGGAAGTCAAGGATCACTTGGTTCAGTGTGCTCAGAACTAGGATTAGATATCACTGGAAGCATTAGTATTATCCGGTGACAAAATTAACTAACTGTCAATGGCTGGAAAATCTTCGGTGATGACAACCACACTCCCCCACCAACCCACTATCATGAAAACCTAAAAGAAAATTAAAAAATATAAATACATAGTAGAAATTAATATTCAGTATACCATCCATCAGCCTTAATAATTGCTTCCACCCTATCCATCATTGATCTTGCCAAAGTATCAAAAACCTTTGGGTCCAGAAGTTCCTAACAATGAGTAATAGCCTTCTCTATAATTTTTTTGATCTCATTGACAGGGCCCTTCAGGAGAAACAGCTCAGGATAGTGCTTATGAAGCTTGTCTTTCACCAGAGACCAAACATTTTCAATTGGATTGAGGTCTGGTGAATAGGGAGGAATTTCTATCAGAGAAATTCCATTTCTCCTGAGCCATCTCCTGAAAGGCAAGTGAGTCTTAGCATTGTCAATGATCAAAAATACCTCTTCCTCTCCAACATGCTCCTTGATATCCTCCCATATCCCTGGAAAGTCATATTGATCATAAACATCAATAATTGACTTTCCAGTCACTCCACCTCCAGCAGAAGTAGGATCAGGAAAAACGGGTAAAAAAAGACCATGAGTTTGACCATAGAAACAACCAGTCATCATCTGACTAATCTTTCTCTCTCCTTTTCTAGCAGTAGGTTCAACACAATCCTTATTCCACTTTTCTTTTGGACATCTAAATACCCATTTTCTTCTCTTTCCTCCTTCCCTCTCCACAGCTACCTCATCCCCCACATTGCCTTCCTTCTCCACATCTGCCTTGTCCAATTCCTATGGGCTAATGCCCATTCCAATCTCTTTTGAGCTAGATCCTCATCCAAATGAACCCTCTCTTGTGCCATCCACTTTTTAAGAAGCTTTTATGCAAGTCTCCTCTTCACAGTCTTAGCAGAAACATTGGGAGCCACTCTCTCAGCAATCTCAGAGTAGCTGGTATGGCGATTTTTGAGAGCTTCCTCTACCATAGCATCATCCTGCAACTTGGTAGTTTTAGGATATCTTGCTCTACCTTCATTCTCCTTGCCCTCTTGATCTCTCTTCGCAAATGTGCTTTTAACAGTACTGAGAGGAATGTCAAGGTAGTGGGAAATTTGGTGATTTGTCATCTGAGGCTTGCGTAATCCAAGAATTCGTCCCCTTGTAAACTCAGAAAGGTGCTTGGAGGGAATAGGCTGTTTGGCATGACTGTGAAGAATAGGAGGCATAGTTTATTGAAAAAAAAAATTTAAGTAAATTGGTTTGGTTTTGGTTGGTGTAGAGCAATTTCTTTAGGAAGTGTTGAGGGAGCGGGGTGATGAGGAGGGGAGCATTGCCATTGCCGTTGAGAGCTAGTTAATTTTGTCCCCGGACAATAGATTTATAGCCAAATTTGATATATGATAGTCAAGCCTGAGCTTCTCTACATTAGAATAACAATACTTCGCTTCTTCATAACACAAACCTAATTCTCATGAGATTCAAGTATGAAACATAAACTAAGACACCTATAGGCCCGGCCGTCCGTCCCGGGCATAGATCAGGACGGACTGCCAATCGGCGTCCGTCCCGGGCAAGGGTCTCCAACTTGGGGTCCGTCCCGTCCTAGGCCAAAGACGGACGGACTAGACGCTTAGGAACACTGTCTTTCACAGAGCTGACTCTCTGGAACTTGAAATTTGTATACAATAGCTGCAATATTTGGTTTTTCACATTCGATTAACATATCAACAGTACCATCCATATGAACTTCTATGTCTGAATAATTTCAGACACCCTCAGAGGTTCTTTGTAGTAGAGGTAGAGTTAAGAGTAGAGTAGTTTGTGAAATCTGATATTGAATTGAATCTGACGTTGAGCTGTTGGGCACATCGTGGAAGGCACAGTTTCACATTCGGCAGGAACCTCGGCAAGGTTATGGAACTAGAAAATCATCTCCGCCCTCCGAGTCTCTAAGAACAGTTTAATCTCATTCTTGCAACCTTTCCCCTCCCATATACAATTCGGAAGTGTTATACATCGTGCCATGAGACTTAGCAATGATAATAGGCTATCCAGAACCGAAAGCTCATCCTACCTTCGAAGAATTAGGAGCCCAATCCACCGGCTTTTGCGAGTTTATCCTAATCCTAGATACCTTGACGAGAGTAATCGAAAAGAAAAGAAATCATTCCCCGTTGTTGCAATACGTTCCCTCGCACAGCCCCCATGACTCGGACATATCCTTATTCGCCACCTTGTTTCTACGATTTCTTCTTGATCTTTAAGCCAATTTGGTCAAGACCACAACGACGAACAATAGTGAAAAGCCAGTTGTTTTAATGTACCTATCCTGCCTGCAATCGACCCAAATGTCACCAATAGCGCTTCATAAACATCTCTAAAACTAACAGCGGTTTTCCTAAGCAATTCCACTTTCAAACCGCACAACCAATCCCCCACACAAGTCGCACTTAACAGCCGCCACACTGACTTCCAATCAGGTTTTGAACCACATAATAGTGTTACCATCGCAAAGGTCCCCAAGATAGAAAAACAAATCATTAAATCACCTCCGCAATAGATTGCCTCTCAATGATAGACTTCTGCCTATCATTCCTAGAAACTCGATAATAATGATCACAGTAATCCTGGCACTGCATTTCTTTTAAGAAGTCTTCGTCGTGAGTGATGACCTATTATTCCCCGGATACAGTTAGCCCGGCCTAACAACCCTATATATAACAATGGGGGGTATCACAATCAATTGAAAGTTAGACTGTGCTTGACGAGTCTGGATTATCTCGTGCAAGCTCTTAGCCAGTGATCTGATGTTGTCACTGTCGAGGTTTGTAGTCGGTTCATCAAGGGCGATGAGCTAGGGGGGAGTTAGAGGATGTTCAACTCCATTCAGAAGGCAGAGGAGAGCGGGAAAAGACCGACACCGCAGTTTATGCCAAAGCACTCGGCTAGTGCTAGGCGGATAATGATACTCGCCAGAACCTTTTGACCAGCGCTGCACCGTCCTCGCATATCCATTTCGGCGTCTTGCTTTACCATACAAACCTACACCATAAGTTAGCCATCTTCCTGGGAATAGGAGATGCAGACTACCCTATAGTTGTAAGAACGGTTGCCCTTGGCGTTCTCGTTATCAGACCGTATAAGGATTGTATCAACGTCGGTCCCCCGGTAGGTGGATTTCCATAGTTCCTCGATAATGCGATTTATCTCTTCCATTTTCAAACTGTGATACCTCATAACAGCCCTAATGAGTATTAGTAAATTCGCCTAAGAACCCCGAACCGAAACATACTTATCCAACGCCGCACCGTATTTCGCAAGATCGTTAGTAGCTCCCGTCGTAGTTTGGACCTTGGCCAACGTTTCCTTATACTTCTGCTTCGCATCTGCATAGTCGGTTTGGTAGTCGGCAATGAGTTGCTCGAGCTGCTTGTCTTTAGACCTCATTTCTCCCGCCTTCGCCGATTTCTCAGATGACAGCCTCATATGTTTATCAGAAAGCACCTCGGCATTCCTTTGGAAACGATGTCGTTCGGCGTCAGCGTTTTTACCCTCCAACTCCCGGATTTCCACATTTAACTTCTCCAAATCCCTCTTGTTCTTCCGGAATCGGAGGTTCTCGTGGATACTCCGCTCAGTCGACGTTGCGGTCCCTTCTTCGATTTCGAGATTGTTCACTTCAACCCGGATACTTGTGACTTCGGCCTCATGCTTTTTGACCTCGACTTGCAATGTTTGCACTTGATGGCGGCACCGATTTAACTGCTCTGGCCCCCCACGGTTAAGGTAATTGCCAATACCGTGTTGAGTCCTTTTCAATTGCATGTCACTCTCAGCGAGTTTCATTGCATCCCGTTGGTGTCGGTTTTCCTTCCCAGCCCCATCATCCTGTATCATTTGGACTTTGGCTTCTGCCCGTTGTATCTTGGGGGCCAGCTCCCTAATCTTTTGATCTATCTCCTCAATAGCGGTGGTATGCATGACGGCCTCCTGCTTATGAGATTCAATCCGCTTCACGAGATCTTGGGCCTTGCTGATCTTGAAGTTCAATTCGCCAAATTTCATCCGAAGATCTCTTACTTGGCCGTCAAGAAGGGTGATCGAATGGCGAGCAGTCTCCTTTTCCGCGATAAGCACATTGATTCTTCTTTTGATAACTTTAGCTCCATCATTCAGGCGTTGCATCTCACTTTGCATTTCCTCAATCGTGCGTGAACCCCCCAGTTCTTGCAGGAGACGAGAGGCGTCCTCAACTTGTTTTTCATAGTTGGAGATTTCCCTCGTATACTTAGCAATCTCGGCCACTGGAGCCCTTAGTGATTCCGCTTCGAATTTTTTGTGCGCCTTCTCAGTGGCATTTTTCTCATGCTAGTAAACAATCAGTTCCATTACATCATTAGTTATAGCGCTGCAATTGCTCACCTGATTGTATTCCTCCAAAAGAAGTTCCTTGGTCTGATTCAACTTCTGAAGATCTGCCTCAAGCTTTGGGAGCTCAATCTCTGTCAGGCGCTTCCAAGAGCCAAAGCTTGGCGCAGCATCCTTTATGTGTTTTAGGTCTTCTTCCAATTCGCGAATTATATCCTCTGTATTTGCCGTCATCACCGATTGCAAACGTGTAGTAACCTAGAGGTCATCTCGATTAGTCCCATTCTAAATATTATTGCCAGTCCGTTCGTGACTTACTAATTCTTGGAAATTCTTTCTATCAAGGGCGCTCTCAAAGTTTCTCCTGCACAGAACGCACGAACCATGTTCCTGTAGCGTTTTTACTGCGGTCTCAAAGTATTGCTTGTAGAAACCAACCTGCTCCAAACGCCTAGTGAAACAGTTAGCCAAGGAAGAAAAACCGGAAATCATCAAGTCGGGGCCACCAACGTTCGTGCCTCAGTCAAGTTTTTCTCCACTTCTTCGGCAACTCCGGGATATTGGCGAATGTCCTCTTGCTCTTCCGCATCATATGCTGCCCGGACCTCCCTCTCGCATCCTAAGAACCTTTAGCAGAAGAAAAAATAATACAGTCCTTGCCCTACTCACTCGAAGCCTCGAGTTTCTTCGTTCTAATTCCGTCTTTGGCGATGTTAATTCTAGTCTCAATATTCCCCAACTCCTGATTAACACCATCGCGAAGACTCGTGGCTTCCGTAAGTTCGTCCTGCCGGTTACTGTGCCTATTAGAAATATAACCCACCTGAATAAATCGAGAAAATAATACCTCAAGACCCGTTGGAGTTGGCTTTCCACAGTACTTGCAGTCCAGGGCTGATCAATTAGTCGGTCAATCTTTTCTTTGTTTGCCACAGACCTGCGATATGTTAGTGTAATCGCGTGATTTGACTACCAACGACGAAGAAGTAAACAGTACATAGTCTCCAATGCCATCCTTCTCGTTTCTAACTCCTTCTTCAAGAATCCCAGTTTGGCTCGTTCATCTGCCTGCTTGGTCCCCTTTGCAAGCTCGGTAGTGACACTCTCCAACTCATCCTCGATACCCCTGAGCTTTGAGTTTTCAGCCCTAATGCTCCCATCGAAACTAGAATTCCTGAAAGACTGCTCCGCAGTTGCATGCTGGTGTTCTTTATCTTGCAACTGAGACTTCAAAATAGCTTCCTGGCCCTCATTCACATCGATACTATCCAATTCTTGCTGTAGAGCTGCTAACGTATCGTCCACCGATCTCCCGGAAGACTGATGGTGGTCTTTTAGCCCAGTTAAAGACCTACGCTTATTGATGATTTCATTTAGCTCCTCCTGAGCCCCTCTCATCTCCTCAGCATTTTCACGCTGCACCAGTCAGCAATCGAACAATATCTACAGAAAGCATACCAGAGGCCGAAGGCCGCAAAGCAAAATTGCCTCAAGGGACACAGCGTACCTTGATACGCTCCAGTGTCAAGCTCTGATCGCGGGACATCCCAGAAACTTTGTCTATGAATTCTCTAATCTGAGAATCGTCAAGCTGGCTGTCAAATCCTCTGATACCATGTCGCCGGCTGATTTCCTTAATCAACTTCTCACGCTCAACGAGTTGTGCTTCAAAGGCCTAAAAAGAATTAACCCAGTTTTATCAACAAATATCACTGCGGCAAGTGCTAACAGTTTGTTCGGCCTGAATACGACCCTCCTCCGTGAGCTTTTCTCCGAGACGTCTCCTAACTCGGTCAAGATCACGATCCACTTCGACATACTTGGCTTTCTTAGCTTCAATATGCTCCTGGTAGGTATTCATCCGCTTCCCATACTCGTGTTGCATTCTCTCCAGTTCAGCATCAGACTCCTCGAAGTGAGTGAGATGCTGGGAAATTTCATCAATGTAGGTCTCCATAGTGCGGGCCTCTTGTTTCTTTGCATTCAAGGTAGCGATAGTTTCCTCAAACCCTTTAGCAGTGGCGAACAGTTGTGCCTGCTGAGCCACAATTTCTGATATCTGACGACTCAGTTCCGTTACCTCAAGTCTCATCGACTCAATCTCGTCATGAAGTTCATCAGACCGGCGTTTTGCCTAAATAATTCTTAGCCGTGAAACTCAAGTTGCGCAAGCTATCTAAGGGTGTAAAGAGGCTCATGGAAAGATTTCGCTCTAGTTACCCGTTCACCTCGATCCTTGTCCGTTCGGTATTGCTCTAGCAAAATTTTGAGATTGCCCAGCTCTTCATTCTGCTTCTTCCTCAAGATTTTAATATTATCGATAGCCTTGGTGTACTTCAAAGCCTCAAATATCTCATCAAACCTCTTCTTCAATACAGCTGGTTCACTCAAAGGCCAGAGGCTCTCATCCTGGTGGCAGAAGATAACATATTCTAATACCGCTTTTGATACTCCAAGATATTGTGGCATAACCTGATCTAATTCGGCGCATCTTGAGCTTATCGTAGATCTCTCGCCGTTCCGAACTACTAGTAGCTGGCCCTCCAAAGTCTTTTGTTGCCGAGTCGTCTTCTTAACTGTGAGTTGTAGAGAACGAGTGCATACCATTTTTGCATCACTTGTAGACTTGAACGAAAGCTTTACCTGAGCGAGAACCTCTTTCTCGCCACACATCTTTCCAAATACAATCCATCAGCACAAATAGGGAGGGTTGGGATGAAGTAAAGAACCTTTGGGTCATGGATAAATGCTCCCCCCTTGCTATTGGGTGGCAAGTCCCCAGTGGTGGCATATTTGAGACATTCGATGATTGTCTGCAGTTTACCCTTCGTCAGCAAACAGGCGTTTCTCAACATAATTGTTCATCTGCCTCCCCCAAAGACTTGTTGGTGGCGTACAGTTTTCCCTGAACCATTGTATCCAACAATCAAAGTGAGCGGTGCATGAAACTGAATGGTCTCGCTGCGAGTATTGTCGAATGAGCGAACACTAAGTATAGATTTTCAGTTCCAGTCCAATAGCAACAAATTACCCGCGCAGGCTCGAGGGACTCGTACCCAAGGATGGCGAGCTTGTCAATGCGTGCTAGGACAAGCAGAGATCAGCTCTGAGCATTCCGATATCTTCCCAATACACAAACGCAGATGAGACGGAAAAATTGAACACTTACACCTATACAAACCGTTAGTCAAAGGAATAGCTCGGAACAGTTCTCTGATGGGGTCGATACTCACATAAGGGCTGAGGAAAATGTACCCGAGGAAACAATGTGCGAAGGATGTTTGCTCTAGTTGATTGTTTGATGCAAGCACTGTGATAATGCGTTGTAGAGGTTGCTCTAGCTTTGGTGAAGCTAGAGCCTAGAAAACGCGCTCGCGGGACAAATCATGTGGTATGTCTTGGCACTCCTGCAATGGCAGGATACCTAGAAAGAAAGCGGGGCAACAATTCCACTAACTGGGAAAGTTATTTGGCAGGTCTCCCTACGTTTGTTTCTCGGCTCTATTACATATCACAATAATACGAGTAGTGTAGAAAAAGATAGAGACTCTACTAATAGTACTTGCACTATACTGGTAGCACCGAGATATCACACCGGTACGGCGCCTGGTGTGAGTTGAACCGCCGCTCGAGACAAGGCTGGGTCTCAAATTCTCAACGGCAGTGTGACAGTGTCTGGTGTCACGAATCACGGCAAAAGGTGCCCCTCCCATTCAAGGCTTCTTTGATAGGCCAGAACGAAAATGTACAAGGGTCTCTCCCAATTGTCTCCTCGTAGAATACCGGTACCATACAACTCTCCAAACAAACATCCAAATGTGATTATTCCGGCCGCAGTCGGAGCACCATAGAGTACGGTAAATATCCCTCCTCTTCTTTCCTTTTTTTTTTTTTCTTTCTCTCCCCCTCCTTTTTCCCATTGTTCCATTCATGTCCAGCGGTTTGCTGTAGTCGTCACTGCTTCTTCCTGTATGGGTGCGAATACTGATTTTACTCTCAACCCATCTGCTGGCTGCATGCAAAAGAAAAAAAAAAAGATAAATCTTGCTGGCTCTCGAGGAAGGTGGAAGGTGCAGTATTCCTGTGGGTGGATTTTGTGGTAACGGAAGCAGTGTCAGTCCTAATCCAAATATAGCAATGAATCTTGAACAAGGAAAGATGGAAGGAATCTACCATACTCGAGTACTCGAGTCCGGTGATCGGTAAGAACATGTTACCGGCAGTGCTGGCCGTGTTCAAAATCCTTCTAGATGTTCTTTCTCTCGCACGGATAGATATTGTTCCTGAATTGGATCAGTATGTAGTAGTATAGTATTTGTACCATTATCTACCGTATATACCACAGTACGATATTATAGATTCGATTCCCAGTAGGTAAAAAAAGGGTCGGACGACTCCCGACCACAGTTCCCTCTGTCCCTTTGTCTTCCATAAAAAGTATCATTCAATACTAGTACTCGAGTACACATTCGATAAACTCTTCAACAAAAGAAAACATGTGAAACCGACTACAGCCCAAGTTCGAAAATTATCAGAATTTCCTCGAGACTTGCTAGACTGCTCAGACAGGCCGGAAAACTCGCTACCGAATTTCAATGTCCGACATAATTTATCCCTTTTTGTAGGTTTTTTCAACTTGTACTAGTAGCTCTAGCCTCTGCGGACTCCCGCTTCGATGCGACATATCACAGCCAATTCACAACCAACTCATAGCCAATAATTTACACACGACACTTTTACAACCATCATTTGACTTGGCTGACGGAGCCACACATTCACCCGTCCACCAAAAATTAATCAACAATCAACAAGGGATGCTAGTCAAGGCTAGGGCAACGGTTAGGTATAATTATTTTTCTTATGCCACTCCTGCTACAGCACAAGGCCAAACGGGTATCTGTCGACCGGTCAAGGAAAACCGACATACAACTGCGGAGAGAGATATTGGGTGCTGGGGGAAGGGAAAAAGAGAAAAAAATGACATGACAGAGAACCATACCCCCTCACTCATTCAATCCCCCCTCTCCCCGTATGTCTCCCCCTCCCCCCGCTCCCGCTCTCTCTCTTATTCCCTCGCCTCTCTTTTTCGGTTGCTAGTCACCTAAGAACACGAGACAGTTCGCATCAATCAACCATTGAGCGCATGAGTGAGAGAGGATGAGGAAAATGGTAAGAGGTAAATTACGGAGACAAGCGGAGAAAAAATCACACAAGACCCTTTTGGAGAGGGAAGGAAAAAGTGAAAAGGGAGCGAGAGTGCAAGGGCACCCCACCCCGGATGCTCTCCTGGAAAAAGCGAGTCAACACGCCGCCGCGGTGTGCTGGACCAGTGCTGCTTCACCTTTCGTCCACTTAACTCACTTTTCTTAATCATTCTCCATTCTATCTTTCCACCTACCTCATCCATCCTTCTTGTAGAGTACCATATCTCCCTCCTTCCACCACCACCACCCCCCCTCCCCTTCGTACTGTGCCTCCGTCACCCAGCTCATCCACTCAGTATATGTAGGCCAGGTAGCCAATATCCTATCCATGCTTCTGCCCCGCGTCGACTTGTTCACTCCCTCCTCTCCTTCCTTTCCCTGTTTGTCCCACTTCTCTCCTCCTTCCTCCCCACCACTTGTCCTCGTTTACCTACCTCCACCCACGCCTACCGAATAACTATTAGTAGACATTGCCGACCTCGATACCACAACCCCCCTCCTCCCTCTTAATCCTTCCCCTCCTCCACTCCCTCTGTCACTTCGGCCCATCCTTTAATATTCTAAAAACTGCCAAAGTCCATCATGATGAATCACCCGTCATCGTCATCACCCGCCCAAAGTTACAATGTTCCCGCAAGTATGAGAAGCGCCCACATGTACGCAGGCAGCATGCCTCTCGTCAACGGTGTCAATGGACAACTCCAGAACATGCAGATTTCCCCCCTGGCCGCCCAACAGGCCATGTCAGCCGGGGGATTAATGGGAGACCCAAATAACAACCCATTACTCGACCCTTCCGTGATAATGTCCATGGGGATGGCCGGAGAGGATGGAATGCCACTGGATCCCCAGCTGTGCACTGGCGGCGATCAATTCGGCCCCCTGTCTGTGACTGCCCCTCCAACATCCATGATGACCGAGTACGGGAACCTCGGCGGTGGCAGTACGCTGACCGAATTCACGAAGCGGAGGAATTGGTCGCAGCGCATTCTTGAAGAGCTGCAGGACTTTCTACATATTCTATCGCCGAGCGGCAAAATGGTCTACGCTTCACCTTCTTCCAAAGCTCTAACTGGCTTCGGCCCGGAGGAGCTGTTGGGGAAATTCATCACTGAGTTCATTCACCCAGACGATTCGGGGTTGTAAGTCTTTGGCGCTGCCCTCGCTACGAACATCATGGAGTTAGCTACTAACCTTGAGTTAAGGTTCGTTCGAGAGTTTAATGGCGCCATCGCTACCGGCCAACCATTGCGATTGTTCTACAGGTTTCAGAAGAGCGACGGAACGTGGGCGATATTTGAAACGAACGGACATCCGCACATTGGCGAAGCACCTCAGTTCAGCCCTTCCTCGATTCAGTCGGTATGCAAAGGCTTCTTCATGATGTCACGACCTTATCCGACGCGGAATGCGTCTTTGTTGGACTCTTTTCTCGAGCACAAGATTGAGAACGAACGGCTACTGAAACGGATCAGCGAGCTAAGAAAGGAGGAATTCGAGGATCATCAGCAACAGCAACGGCAAAGGCAACAACACCACGCTACGGTTTCCCGGACGGATAGTGGAACAGCTGGTAGTAGCATGGCTTCTAATGTAGGCAACGATAACCCCATGGCCACGACGCCTAACTCGTCTGACCCTATGCCCCCACCTGCGAAACCCACGCAGTCAAATACAGCCCTGACCCGGCAAAACCTGGATCGTATGGAGGCCACGAACCATGCAAAAGCTGACAGTATTCGCGATAAGATGGCTAGGTTCGAGGGTGCTACTCATATGGATACGATCGAGATGTTGACAGGGCTAAGATACCGAGAGGGGGAGCGGTCGAAGGGTATTAGCACGGGTGACACATCGCCGGCACTTATTCGCGGAGACGCCGGAGTGCCCATTCCCATCGATAAAGAGAGCCGCCATACGTCGGAGAAGAAGAAGAAACAGAAGATTGCGGACGAATACGTGTGCACGGACTGTGGTACTCTGGATAGCCCTGAATGGAGAAAGGGTCCCAAGGGTCCGAAGACCCTTTGCAATGCATGTGGTTTGAGATGGGCCAAGTTCGTTACTCCGTGCTGATGCAATCCCCTCATACGACGTATAGCTGACGTGCTCTATAGGAAAGAGAAAAAGCGAAATGCCGGCTCTGTATCATTGCCAGCAGGATCCACAGGTTCGTTAGTAGGATGAAGGATCTGCGTTAGCTTTGATTTTATCATGTCTATTTATTCAACGTGCCCATCCTCAGTTTCTGAGCATCACTCCCCCCCCCCTTTCATTTCCCATTCTACCATATTCTATTCCTTACTTCTTTCTTCTTTTTCTCTCTCTTTCCCTTTTTTTTTCCCCCTAAGTTCTCACCTCATTCGTTCCCATTACAATGTAGAACGGCGGGGCATCGTGTTCTCTGGAGAAATTTTTCAGGAGTTTACGGGCGGCAAGCATCATACGGAAGGCACAAACTTCGAGGCGCAATTTGTTATTATTAATATACTTCGGTTGGGTCCATCAATGAGCTGTTGTGATCTTTTATCGCGGACGAGCATGTGTGTGCGTGTGTGGAGTGTATCTATGAAAGTGTAGATGGAGATGTGGGTGTGTGGGCTGTGTGCGCGAATAGCGCACCCTACTCTGATGTTGTATCATAGGTCGCAAGTATAATACCGGTAGAGTGACCTTGATCAGTGCTCACGACCATAGTGACAAAACGCCACGCGTGTTTTGATACGGTATGATACTCCAAATACCGGTCCCCCGTAGACCAAGGGATTCCTGTGTCGCGCCGGCACCCTGATTCATCCTACGCCGTTTGGCTTATCACTAGTGATCCAGACCCTTGCGCCCTCCGCCCAGGCCCAGAAAGAGTTGAAGAAAAGAATTCCTTCATAATAATATTATTATCATTACCCTGCCAGGAAGATACCAGTTCTCTAGTTATGATAGTTTATTCCGTCGATAGTGCCCCGACACACCATAGTCCACTCGAGCACTCGAGTAGGTTAGCCACTACTGTATGTACCGTACGTCACTACTGTATGGTAGCGAACATACAGTATGAAACAACAGAACAATGCTCACCATCATACTGGATCACTCGAGTCCTGATTTCTCCTGCGTCCACGCGAAGCAGCTGACAAAGGATAGCGGCATGGATACGGTAGTTCAGTCAGTCCAGTACGATAGCCCGACGAAATATGCCGCTAAATAGGGCAACCACTCATGCCCTACGAGACGGTATTGTGCCGGTATGATACTTGTATGTCCATCATTGTATCATAAATCCTATCATGCCAACGCGCCATACATTGTCGGGATTCTCTGTCCTCAGCCCCCTGCCCATGAAAAAGCCTCGGTGACGCAACAAGACAGAGCCGCAAGGATAATCCCTTGAATAGGGTCGGGCCGCCGCACAAACTTTCACCCTGCTTATAGGTATTATCAACTGGCTGGGCAAACATAAACCCCGAAGAGGAAACAAGGGGGAAAAATGGAAAAAACACTCCTTTCCCAAGATTGAGGGGTGACTCCTTTACGGCAGGTCATCCCTCCCTACCCCCGCTTGATAAAACACGTCTTCCCAGAAAAGTGCTTGTTTATGGATCTCAGGAGAGCGCGTTTAGCTGTTTTTCCCTCCTTCCTTTAAAACGTGGCGAGCGGCTTTCTCAACTTCAACGCAAACTCTGCAATTGGGTACCTGTACAAGCAGCTACTATGGCAGCAATCCACTCCCAACTTGATCCCCTCCCTCAAAATCTCCCCTTTGAAATCATTTCTAAAACTATTGGCCGCGGGGCTTATGCATCGTCGGTCTTCCTTTCCCCTCAATTCAACCAACCAACTAACCACCCAACAGAGTCAAGAAAGGTCGAGTACCCCAAACTGGTGAAGTGTTTGCGGTAAAGTTCATACACAAGCGGTACGCAATCGAGCGGGGAAAGATTACGCCACGACAGATTACGGCGGAGATCACCCTTCACAGGCACTGTGGGTACCATCCGAATCTCATACAATTTTATGATTACGGAGAGGATGAGGTATGGACTTGGATTGGAATGGAGTTTGCCTCGGGTGGGGATTTATTTGACAAGATTGAACCCGATGTCGGTGTTGCTGAGGATGTCTGTCACTTTTACTTTACGCAACTGGTTGCCGGTGTTTCGTATATCCATGGGCAGGGGATCGCCCATAGAGGTGGGGGCGTTCTCTACTAGATAATTTCCTTCGCTAATAGGAGATTCGTAGACATCAAACCGGAGAATATACTGCTCGACGATCGTGGGAATTTAAAGATTGCTGATTTTGGTCTTGCCACGGTCTTTAGCTTTAAGGGCTCATACAAGTCTACTTCAAACGTCTGCGGATCCCCTCCGTATGTTGCGCCGGAGGTTTTTATCCACCGCTCTATTTTGCCCGTTTCATGTTGGCTTGAGCTGCTGAAGCTAACTGAAGGGGAATTATGTATTTTTATAGGTGCTGATAGGGAGTTATCGGGGGGATCGGGTCGATGTTTGGTCTAGCGGTGTATTACTCTTTGTGCTATTGGTGGGAAACACACCCTGGGACGAGCCTGGTCCCTTGTCGTGGGAGTTTGAGGAGTTCAAGAGAACCAATGGCCGCCCGACATACGATCCTTGGCCAAGCATTTCTCCAGATGTCCTTTGTGAGTGTGCTCTTTGTGCATTGGCTGGATATAACGTTCGGGTCGATATTTTCCATTTCCAGGGCTAACATTCTGTAATAGCTCTGCTCCGGGGCATGATGAGATTGGACCCTCTCACGAGGTTCACATTTGAGGAAATTCGGCGCCATCCGTGGTTTACACGGTGCGTTTATACTTTCCTTCTCCATTTCCTCCGAGCATTGGCTAATGCTGTGGTATTCAGAGAGAATCCCCATCTCACGGAGGACGGATCTTGCATTGACAGCGTGAATTTGGCAACGCAGTTGATGGAAGGTTTACATGTCAACTTTAACGACGTACCAGCTAGTCGAGGAGTATCTCAATCCGTTAGCGACGATTTCAGCAGATTGTCATCAACGCAGCCGGAAACTCCGATTGCCGATGTTGACTTTGAATGGGAGAGACCGTGGCAGTCTTCCTCACAACCCCTGGAAATACCACAGGATTTCAGCTCTCAAGATTTCTGGGCTAGCTTGGCCGAGGATCCCACCATGAGCCAATTTGCGCCTCAGCCCTCTCTCCCCCTGTCTCTTGTGAGTTTCTCTCTCCTTTTTTTTCTTTTTTTTCTTTTACCCCTAACCCCCCGTGCTACATTCTGCGAGATGCGGGAAATCGTACTGACCATCTCAAGACCCAAAATGCCCAAAAGTTCCAGGACATCTGCCCCTCACAGCGCATGACACGTTTTTATTCTTCCTATTCTTTCCGGCAGATCTTGCCCATCCTTGCGAGCGCTCTCCATCGTCTAGGGGTCACGGCACCAGCGTTCAAGCCGTCCGACTACGATGATAACAATACGGAGACCTGGATACCCGTCAAGACATTGGACAAGCGAAAGTGTCATTTGAAAGGGGATATCCTGGTCGGGAGGATGGCACCGGATGTATTGCAAGTTAGTTTTTCAAAGACAATAGGTGACCCATTGGAGTGGAGAAGGTTCTTCAAGGTATATATCCATCCATTCATTGGGGGGGGTGTCCGGTCCCTCCTACGGGTTCATTGGCTAACCAAGGGGGTAATATGCAGAAAGTAGCTGTTCTCTCCAAAGAGGCCGTATACACGGGTCATTGATGAGTGGGGTAACTAGTACTGGTAAGATAACTTGGTTTGAAACGCCGAGCAAGTCAGATAAGCTCTCCATTTTCCCTTCCTTTTTTCTTTTGCCCTCCTTTTTGGGCATGTCGGGCATTATCAATTCAGCGTAGTATTAGGCATTTGTATTTGATGATCACGTGTGCTATGATATGATACCCCTCCTTCCCTTTTTATTTTTATTATGCAATATCTCTTTTTGTGCGTTGAATGACGAATGATGGCATGGCATGATATGGTATTATGGATTGACTGACTTAATTGATACGGCACTTGTAGATATCATAGATGACAGATGATTAGATAGATAGACCCTTGTAAAGTCATATTTTGCCTTTTCTTTTTATCGCGAATAAGGAAAATCTGCGACATTCAATCCTATCCTCTCTTCATTGTGTCATTTTGCATTTATCCTGCAGGAAGGGAGGGAGGGGTGATTTCCTTTTTGCTGGTATTTTTACTGTTGCCCCTCCTTATTTTTTCATTTTCATTTTTTTTTTTTCATTCGATTGCAAAGGTACCGGTGTTATGAGATTTACTTTTGCAGAGTATCGGCAGTTGAGTGGTGATGTTATGTATGTTCCATCCGGTCAGATACTGGTACGAGTACTCGAGCGCAGTGTGCTCGAGTATGATATACCGCAAATCTGATATCAGATTCCCTGCCCCCCCGCTCAACCCCCCACCACAACAACGCACCAATATCCCATTTTCTCATTTGTCCTTTCGACCGCCGCAGTCGCCTTTTATTTTCCTTGTTTTCCACCCCGGTGCCCTAGTGTAGTAGCAATCTGCGGTATCATTGCATCCTTTGCCAATGCCGCAGTGTGCTAGTACCGTGATATTTATCATACCTTACCCGCTCTCAATCGTAACTGGACGAGTAATATTATATTTAACAAAAGTGAGAAAAGGTATTTGGCTCAGTTGGAAAGGCTTGGTTCTGTCCATGTTGAAGGGTGATCGGGGATATGTGTGGTGATCGGAGGTATTATACGGTATGATACATGCAGGTACAGTCGTGTCCGTGAAGTTTTTGTGCATCAGTAAATTATCTTTAACCCGGCACCACAACGACACGACCACTAGACAGTGAGAATGAGAGTCGAAAAAATAAAAATAACGAGGAAGAAGATAGTAGAAAACTTAGTTAATAAAGTAACAATAATAGAACTAGTAGAGAAGAAAATACTATCATTTGATATGACTTCTAGTACAGCTTGTATTCTCTCAGACATCCCATTTATTTATCTATCTATCTATCTATCTATCTTCTGAATCTCTTGTGGCATTAGATCTCACACCTCCTTTGCTGCCTAGAATAACTTGCTACAGCTATGAAGCCTTCTTTCAACGCTGGTAAAATGGGTTCTAAGAGTTCTTTTAAGTAGTGTTTAATTGTTCTCAATAGGATCGAAATCTGATAAGTTGGGTTTTATCAAAACTCAACGATTGGATCTTATCCTATGTAGGCTGAAATTCCCTTATCTGTAAAGAGGGTAAAAAATATAATAATATTATTATAGTAAAAATACAGTTCCCTTAGGCCCTGTTTGAATACAACGGACTCTTCCGTTTCCCCATAAAAGACCGTTGCAGAACCCATTTTTATATGAGAAACAGTTCCAAAACAGAACAGAACCTCGAGGATAGTAAAAAAAAAAAAAAGAACTTTATCTTACCTAAAGAGGAAAGTATAATGACATAGTACATAATTGTATTATTCAAGTATTTACAGCGGCTATCATACATCAACCTTTAATTAATTAATAAGTAAGATTGGTATCTGCCATTTTTTATCACATAGGATATCAAATATTACTCAAATTATGATAGGAGTTAGAATTCCCACCTAGATTTAGTAGATTGATAATATTGTAATAGTAGTATATAGGCAAAATCAAAAACTAAATCCTGCTAAAATCAACAATAACTACTAGTAATAGATAGTTCTCCTATTTCGTTCAACTCATAGTTGGGAAAATCAAGTATAATGTAAAAGCAAGTGTGATGCAATACAGCCTTTATTTTTTCTACATTTTTTTATTTTTTTATTTAACTTATCATATGTATATAATACAGGTTATTAATTATGTATTATTTCTAGCTGTATTTTACAATCAAAAAGTTCCATTACCTAACATATTATATTAATATTATTGAATTTACAATTTCCATGATCAATATAATAGAAACATTAGATATAAAATAATATATCATAATTCAAGTTCTTGCATAACCAGATGTAGAATCTAGAATAACAGCTAGTACAACAAATTAGGAGTTTAATATCAAAGCCTCCTCAATTTGTACCTACCATCTATATAAGTACAATTATATATTGAATTCTCAGTTTTTATGTAACAAGCATTCTAGTAAAGAATTTCATCCTACCTGAGACATAGGGCATCACTGTTCACTAATACTGAATGAGTAGTTACAGGTAGGAATTAAAATATTAATATATATTATACTAGTGATACAGATTCTGATTATTCATATATATCTTAGTTTTAGATTTCAATAAATACTGATTTTTAAGATTAAATTAAGACTTGAAATACTATAAGGAGATATAAATAAGTAGTTAATAACTTGATTTATATAATATTATGTATTAAATTAAATAAAAAATATATAAAAAAAGCAAAAAAGCAAAATTGTATTATATTGTACTTGCTTTTGTATTACACTTAGTTTTCCTAACTATGAGTAGAGCAAAATAGGAGAGAAACTAGTTATTACTTTATGTTAAGGTACAAAAAAAGTCATATGTGCAGTGAGCTATGAAGTAGACACAATTCTGAACACTTATATTCCTACTCCTACTAGATAAAAACTGAGAGCTCCAAGTTCCTCTAGTATGGAGCTAACTATATATCTTCTCTTAAGCTAAGAACAAAGTCTTAAAAGAAACCTAACTTAAGAAAAGTGGGAAGTTACAAGGAAAAATACCCTAGAACATCCTAATCTGAAGGTAGAAATAAAAACCAAAATCCAACTTCTAAGAAAGTACAAAGCAGATTCAGCTGAAATGAAATATTCTAACCTAATATAAGTTCAAAAAGGTAGTTATAGGCAATTAATCCACCTCCTATAAGTATAGTGATAGGAGAGTGAAGTTCAATAGAAGGCTAAGGCTATTGGCCTAATAAGAGGAAAAGTATGAGATAAGAGGTAGTAGCATCAGTCTTTAACTTAAGAAATAAAAGGAAAGTAGTAAGGTACCAGCTGAAAAGAGAGGCAGTAGGGTGCTAGCCGGATAAGAGTAGTAGAGTAGTTATAGGCTACCAGATGATGTAACTGTAGAGTGTATACAGGAGGAGTATATTTAAGTATAAAATAACTATTAAAAACATGTTTATGTCCTAACTAAGCAGTCTCCTGTAGTTCTCAATACCATCAGCTGTCTTACTGTTTCTCTTACATAGTCCCTTATTCTGGAAGAGATAGCATTACTTAGTGACTAGCATATTACTACTCATTAGCAAAAATAAATACCTGAGTTCTGTGCATCCTATGCTTTTAATACATAGGACGCTGGAATATAAACCATGATCTAAGATGTAAGTAGATATAGCAACCAATAACAGAAAGCAAGTGGCCATAGTAACTAATAGGAGCATGCAAGTAGATGTGACAACAAATGTCAGGACATAATAGGACATAACAGGACGCAACAGGACACTACTAGATGTAGTAGCTAATATCAGAATACTACCTTTTAAATATAGAATTCGCAGGACAAAGTCAATACAAAGCATATCTTATACCTAAGTTACTGCAAGATGAGCTTTGATTTATACTAAGATTTATCTTTATGGATACTAGATTATAAAATTAAGCGAGAATACAGGAGTAATGAAAAGTCTAATAATCATAATAGATTTTATTTCTACTAATATTCATGCCAAGTAGACAGTTTTTATATTTTTGGAAAGCTGATATCATGTAGATTATTGCTGTAATATATAAAGTTTTGTACAAAAAGGATATACAAGATATCTGATGTCAAAGTCAATACATAGCTGTAGTCTCATCAGGAAATACCATGTATATAATAGGCTCTAACTCTGTAGATATTGGTGTCAGGAAGATTTTCCTTATACCATTAGATAGCTGTCATTGAGTAGGTCTACTATGTAAAAAATTAGATTATGTTATACAAGTGTCAGAGGGATATCTGGTGTCAAATTCAGCACATAGCCTTAGTCTGACCAGGAAACATCAGCAAAAAAAAAAAACACTGCATTAGATGCATCAGCTGTATGTCATGACACAAATATTCTGTTGCCACGTCCTGTGCATCCTGGGTGTCCAGAGAGTCCACTTACGTCCAACCTACTCAGAGCTTATTCTAAGTGAGTATGTGATAATTTTCACCTCCCAATCTGGCCTGGTCAACCTTGATCCTTGCTGATATCCTGACACAAGACACTAGAGAGTCCTAATCATAATACTACAAGTAAGCCACATACTAGCTACCTGTAAATCTACTGGACACTAGCCTGAGAACTAAATCTAAAAATATCTACAGAAATAGGAAATATGAAGTACAAAATTCTATTTTAATCTCTTGAAGAATCTGGGAGCCAATATAGCCAACCTGGAGAATGTAAAAGTGAGTAATAGTTGTGATTATTGGAGCAGGTGGTGACTTGGCTGTTTTGTTAAGTTTTTCCAAGACTAATACATTTAACATCTGGACAACTGCATAACATCATAGTCAAAATATCAACAACATGTCTGTTAACTACCATTACTCAACAGTCCCTATCTCTTAGAGAGGTGAAACAATGGAATTCAGTTCTCCTGAGGAATTGCGCAATAATATTGTCTTAGACATTGGATGAATAAGCAATCGACAATCTCATGAGTAGCTGAACTTGTAGTAAAGAATACGGTACCCGTATACCTCAAGTTACGGAAAGCTCTGAAATT